AGGAAAATAAAGACAGATTTTTCTGAAAACTTGTATGAGCAGTTCTTGACAGTTATGGCATATTAATAACGTGTCAAGACAGCCAGGCTTGCATTTTAAGAACTTCCTTGTTTCAAGTTGGGCTCGATTTTCACATTATCCTTCGTTTGCATATTCCAAATATAACTTGTGGTTCTGCACCATGGGGATGAGCTGGCGTGGGTTTCCTTCTTCCTCTGAGCACACAATAGGAGTGTTTTATTCTGAATTAGCTGAAGCCAAGTGAATTTAACAAAAGTTCCCTTAATCAACAGCAGTGTTTCAAGGATCTTCCCAAGATGCCAGTGATAACAGGCTCTGCTCATACATTGTGCCCGGAATTTAAGAATTGCCCAATTGGGGCATTCTTTTCAAAATTGAAAATGTAGTGTCAAAAGTGACTTCTCCACCCCCACCCCCCAAGAAATAACATCATAGCAAAACCACAAAACTAGGTATCCAGCTACATTTTTTGAGCTAAAAAATGGGTGTGAATTCTTGTAAAATTCCTTTCCCACCACAGTTTGATGGAAGGAATTTTTGACTAGAACTGAAACAAATGTGGTAGGATTCTAACAGCCGGCTGAGTTAAGTAACTTTGGGGGCAGTTCATGGGGGTGGGTTGAGAGGGTGTGTTTTGCCTCTGGAAAGAGAGTGAAAAGAAGAAAATCAGAGTGTCCTAAAGCGTTTATCAGTTCTTTGCCTTCAGACAAAAGACCTCTGCCATTTTCCAACCCCCATCCTGGTCCAGGCTCACACTTCCAGCATCTGGAATCTGAAATGTGGTGACTAACCCAATTTGTTTCCTGTGAACTGGCTGCTTTCAAAAGGTGCTAAGTACATAGGTTCTTTCGGATCATCTGGATTTTCTTGGCATCCTGGAACTGACAGGGCATTAAAGGTAGAATGAAGGTAATAGGAACTGTTTTTAAAACAGTCACGTTCATTTTTTAAAGTTTCTTTAAGAAGCAATATTAAATGCACCCCCTTGATTTGCTTCATTTTGCTGCTTTGATTTGCATTGATTCTGTTTATCTGTGCAGCATGGCCACTGCTGAAGCCCCTACCGCTGGCCACTTGCTCCTTCATCATGACAGCTTCGTCTCCCACCTTGAAGCCACAGGTAGCTGGACCAGAGACAGACAGGCAGGCGGGGCATACTCGGATGTCCCCCAAACTCTAAAGAACACAGTGACTGGAATACTCAAACCAATAGTGTTTAGGCTGCAATTCCCTCAGAGTAGAGGTGACTGAATGTGCTCCCCCCCAACAGGGAGACATGGCCAGAGAGGGACCGGTCACCTTTCTCTCTTCCCTCCACCCCTGCTGAACTTGCACTGGTAGACTGTGTGTTCCTCTGCTTGGTTTCAGCTAACGCCCTGCACCTGTAAGCTGTGCTGAGCTGTGTCTGGTCATTCAAACCAGAAGCTACCAATGAAGGCCTGATGGTGCTGCCAAGGCCACGCTACCAGCCCCCGTAACTTTGCTACTGCTATGAATACTAATGTAAATATCTTATATGCAGGATATCTGATATGCAACCCCTGCAAAAGGGTCATTCGACGCCCCAAGCAGTTGAGACCCATAGGTTGAGAACCATTGCTCCAGAGCCATTGGGAATGGGTTTCATCTCATTTCCATCATAGGTGGACTGTGATGTTGGCTATCACTATACAATGCCTTAGTTTGTTCATCTCTACAATGAAATTAATGATAGACCTGATCTTACAGGAACATTGAAAAAGTTACAGGATGGGACAATTAAAAAAAAAAGGTATCAGGGAGTACCGGGCACATTAAAAGCAGCAGAGACCTTCGGTATTTTAACAGCAGCACTTGTGAATTAGTGGCGGCTATAAAATAATTTTGGGAAGGGCATCTCCTGATGTTTGCCGTGGTGCCTCTGGGGTGACTGGCACTAGTAGCTTGGGAAATGGCAACAGGTGGTGCCCTGTGGCATTCAGGGTGATTTATTGGCCAGCCATTGCGGAGAGTGCTCATGCTGAGACCAAGCCAGGGCAGAGTGCTGACTGGGCAGTACTCTGGTTACCACAGAGCCCAAGGCTTTGCTTTCATTATTTCACTTTTTGCTTCATTCTCTCTTCCCTTCCCCTGGGAACAGAGTTACACGCTTAAAAAAAAAAAGTCACGTTCCATCTATTTCAGTGAAAGCGCTCGATCTGGAGCATGGCTGTGTTTTCACTGCTCCTGAGGTAAGTGTACCCACATGTTACACGCCACCCGCTGTCTTCAGGAACTTTCCAAGATCCTGCATCAGCTGTTCATTTGTTGTATAACCTTAGGAGAAATGCTTGTCCAGGGGAAATTTTGAAATAGTACATTTTTGCCTTGACTTTCTGGCCGTACTGATCCAGTACTTTAAAAAGGAAGAGCATACGCCATTACTGCTGTACTGGTACGTTTGTGGTGAACTCAGTTGTGTCTTCACTTTTGACTTTTCTCTACTTGCCATTCACCTGTCTGGGGAATACCTTAGAGGAAGAAATTGTTCAGAAAGTTCGATATGGAGAAAAGAGAGGCTAAGCGTTAGGCAAAATAAATACAGAAAAGTGCTGTTCAGAAAAGCAGTACTGGTAGGTTCAGCGCTAAAGCTTGTTTTTGTTGTTGTTGGCTAGTCCAGGTGCAGCAGTCACCGTTTCTGATGAAATAATACTTTGCTTTGGAAATTTTTTCCTCTCAAAGATAAGTAAAAAGAATTACCACCGTCCATGCCATATCCTTTCCCCCTTCTGGTGACTTATTTAACCTATAATATAATTTAAAACTTTGTGTTGGAATTTTAAAATTGTAGGAACATAGTTGATGTTGACTATGGAGATTACAAAATTGAAGTGTCTAATCTGAAGAAGAAAAAACGGGAGCGGGTGAGGGGTAGGTAAGGATCCCTGCACTATACATCATAACTGCATTTCTCTCCGCCAGTCCAGAAATGCACAGGGCACATTCCCCACCTCGAAACCGTCAGAGGAATGAGAAGGAAAAGCCTGGCTTCTAACTGGGACGAGCTAATTGGTCGCAGGCCCTTGGGACCACTGCCTCATGGCTTGCCTCCTTTTTTCGTCCTGTAGTATTTTTATGAGGGCATGTGATTATAGTGTAGGGACTAAGTTTGACATATCAGCCTTGTCATAGGGCAGGAGTGGAAGAGTTTGTTTCTGTGACTTTTTGCATCAAATATGGAAATAAAGCCACAATCCAGGATGGACATTTTTCTGTAACTAGCAGATTTCAAATGATACATAAGGGGGTTGGGAGGTTGGATATCTGCCCCCTGGTGTTGAATCATCTGGTATGAGGGTTTACTAGACCCAGAATTCTCTGCTGTCAAATTGATGACCTGAATTGAAGAAAGTTTAGAAGTTACATCTCCAGCTTGCTTAAGAAGTATTGATACTTAGAAGCTGTCATTCTTCAGGTTGGGAGTGGGTCAGGGAAGATTCACATGTATCCTTAGCCTCAATAAAATCATACAGAGACATGCACATCGTATTTATACCCCCTTTGTCTAATTATCTTCAGTCTCAGCTCACATGCATTTTTCTTCCTCAGACGAAGCTACTGTTTTAGCAGTTAACAAAATAATCATTTGTTCAAAAAGGATAAGTACTTGTTTCTGTTCTCATCAGAATCCCTGATTCTACAGGGATGTTAGAGCCCAAATGTCCTAAGGCTAAGGACATAAGGCGGGTGTCCCATGCAGCAGGTTCATAAGTTTCTGTTATTGATGATGAATATGATGAAGTTGAAGGAACCAGCACCCTACACCAGCAGATCATTGTGCCAGTGTTCAGCCCCTGAAGTACAAGCGGACATGACTTAATGTCTACGGTTGCATTGATGGATACACAGCATCAGTTGTCTTCAGTCTGCTGAATTACATGTCTCTGTAGACAAAGTCAAACAGACTTTTAAAATTGCAATATTTCTTTTGCACATAAGTTATACATATTTCTTGGAATTAACCCAGAGATAGATAATAATAATATGTATTAGATGAAGTACATAGAAGTAAAAAATTAACTCACCATCAAAGTATGGTTAGGTTAATATTTTGGTTCAGACCTTTTTTTTTTGTTGCAATACAATATGTGTGTGTGTGAGTGTGTGTGTGTGTGTGTGTACACATTACTGAAATCTACACTTTGGGCCAACTGGAGAATGGAGCTCTTTCTCTTCATTATTTGTTCCATTTGAAAAGAATGTGAGATAATACCACAGGCTTTGAACTTGTTTGTTTTAAAACCTCAAGCATAATAGGCACATGTAGTTTCAGACCAACCCATACTTAAAGCATGGATGGATGGCAGTTTTCATAAGAGAAATCTAAGCCTGCTTTGGGAAGCAGATTTTTCTTCTAGTGAATTTACATCTGCTCTTTTGTTCCCAGCTTAAGAGGAAAATGGAGTGGTTCTGACACATTTAATAAAGCTTTTGAGTATATAACCACCATCCTTTACCTACATTTAGGCCATAGCTAGACTGTAAGTCCCTTAAATGAGACCACGTAGGCGTGAAGCATTCTACATCTATTCCTAGTGCAACCTTGGCATTTGAGAAGGCTCAGAAATCTTGAACTGGATGAATGATTAGAGAAGAAAATAGTTTTAAAGGCAGGCCCTAAACCTTGCCTTCTAGTGAGGGGTAAATTAGCCATTGAAGAGGAAAGGCATCCTTTCAACGTGTCTACAGAAACTACAGTAATTGGACCAAATAGTGAATCTTTTAAGTCACTTTTTTTTCTCTCCCCCAAAAGCCCCCTGTTGGAGTCCCTTTATCTTGGCATGTGTGAGTGAACCCCAGAAATGTGTGGTTTTCTCATCTTTAACCCCCCTGGTTGGTTGCTCTGACCCAAGTACCTACTAGGTAAAGGAGGGGGGAGCCCGCTGTCTGTCTTGGTCCAGTGGGAGAGGAGATAGCCGCAGAACCCTCCTTGTAACCCCCTCCCTTCTTCCCTCCCCCAGGGTGCTCTCTTCACCATGATTCCCTGCAGAGCGGTGCTGACTTTTGCGCGATGTCTGATCCGGAGAAAAATCGTCACGCTGGACAGTCTAGAAGATTCCAAACTCTGCCGCTGCTTGACCACCATGGACCTCATCGCCCTGGGGGTTGGAAGCACTCTCGGAGCTGGAGTTTATGTCTTGGCTGGGGAAGTCGCCAAAGCAGATTCTGGCCCCAGCATCGTGGTGTCCTTCCTCATCGCCGCCCTGGCTTCAGTGATGGCAGGCCTTTGCTATGCTGAATTCGGGGCCCGGGTTCCCAAGACGGGGTCTGCGTATCTGTACACATACGTCACGGTTGGAGAACTGTGGGCCTTCATCACTGGCTGGAATCTCATCCTGTCATATGTCATAGGTATATTTCAAAAACAAATATCAGTTGTGGACAGGGTGTGAATGGCTCTCCAGAGAGCCCCGGCGCTAGGGGTAAACCTCCTCTTCTCAGCGGTGGGGCGCTCCTAAGAGATCACTTCTTCCTGCCTCTTGTTTTTTGTCATCTCTAAAATACGTCCTCATTGCTGAAGTCTCTGATTATGCTTCACCTTTGATTTTGTGATTCTTAATGAGTTTGGAAGTTGTTTGGAGTTTTTTAAATACTTTTTTTTTTTTTTCGAGACAGGGTTTCTCTGTGTAGCTTTGGAGCCTGTCCTGGAACTCACTCTGTAGCTCAGGCTGGCCTCGAACTTACAGAGATCCACCTGCTTCTGCCTCCCGAGTGCTGGGATTAAAGGCGTGGGTCACCAGCGCCCGGCAACTCTGTCTTTTTTTGTTTGTTTGTTTTGTTTTTCGAGACAGGGTTTCTCTGTGTAGCTTTGGAGCCTGTCCTGGATCTCACTCTGTAGCCGAGGCTGGCCTGGAACTCACAGAGATCCGCCTGCCTCTGCAATACATTTTTTTTCTTTTCATGAGTTTGTATAAGGTGTGTGTGTGTGTGTGTGTGTGTGTGTGTGTGTGTATTAATTTGGTTTTCTAATATGGTTAAATTTTTCAGTCGGTGTGACTTAGGCCAGCCAGGTTTACCCAGGAATCAACTAATCAGATGAGTTACATTAATTTTCTACCAGTAACCTTTTATTCTCTGAACATTCTGCTTTGGGAAGGTACATCCAGTGTTGCAAGAGCATGGAGTGGCACCTTCGATGAACTTCTTAACAAACAGATTGGTCAGTTTTTCAAGACGTACTTCAAAATGAATTACACCGGCCTGGCGGAATATCCAGACTTTTTTGCTGTGTGCCTTATATTACTTCTGGCAGGTAAGAAAACGAATCATATGCTGTTTCCTGTAATGAACCACATCAATGGGCCCCGGGAAAGTAGGTCACACAGATTTGCAGCCTGGGTTCTCTGAATGAGGTCAGCATATCGTATCAAGGCCCGCTAAGGTCAGTGCCGGGTCACTGTGGGCTTTGTCTCCTCTCTGTTTCACAATAGGATTAAATGTACATGAAAGGGAGAAACCTCGCTTTGGAGGAACAGGCACCTGGAATGCAGTAAGTCATAGGACGGAGATGTCAGTTTTTGTTTTGAGAGCATCCATTTTTTAATATTAATGAGAGACGTTCCTTTATGCCATTAATGCAGTTGTTAGGTCAGAGTGGGAACTGTACATGCAGAAGAATGAGATTCATCTTCTCTCATCCATGCTTGCACAGTTCTGCTTCCGTGGAAGTGGGTGCTGTGGATACAGGGCAAAGGCCAGTAGACCTGTGGCATTGTCTTTTCATAGAAACCATTGCCCCCACAGTAAATGCTGAACTAAGATCCCTACTTCATATAGTATGTCAGGTGGGTTGGAGATGCGGATAGGATAAGCATTTAAAAACTAAAAGGAAACATGTGAATATTTGAAGGTCAAAGTCTGGGGAAAATCTTATTAGAAGTAGATACTAAAATAGGTACATGTTGGTTATTCTAACAAAATTTTACATTTACAAGCAATGGGTTAAGGTTAAAAGCAAGTTACTGGGATGAAAGTGAAGTTCATTGCGAGCATTTGGCTAACACACACAAGGGCATGGGCTCTCGATTTACCCCTGAAATAAACCAATTGAAGTCATTTTTAATAGGATGGAGATGGAAACTATATATTCCACGAATGACTGGCAGAGAGCTAATAACATTAGTATATAAATACCTCTTGTAAATCAGTATGAATAAAATACTCTGGCTTAAAACTTGTATAATGAAAGTGGGGCCCAAATTGTTTTGTATGAAAATGCATGTCCTGGGGCTGGGAAGATGACTGGTGGGTGAAGAGGCTGCCATGCAAACGTGAGTCTGGATCTCCAGGACTCATCTAAAAGCTGGGAATGGTCATGTGCATCTGCACCCCCAGCACTGGGGGTGAGGAACTAAGGCAGGTGGATTCCTTAATCCCTAGAGCCTATTGGACAACCAGCCTAGTCAAACTGTACTCTGGGTACAGTGGGAGCCTGTCTCCAAAATGAAGTGCAGAGCATTCGAGGAAGACACCCACGTCAACCTCTGGCCTCCATGTGCATTCTCATGCACACATGCACACACCCACATGGACATGCTATATACTACACACACACACACACACACACACACACACACACACACACACACACACACTGCATGCCCTCCCATACACTTAATTTGTAAGACTACTGTAAGGAAAATGTTAGAAAATGCAGGGGGGTATTTATAAGATGGCAATGATGTCAGTGCTGTTTATAAAGTAAAAGCAAGAGTGACCTAATTATCTATAAATAAGGGATTAAAGTGTCTCCACATAGTATGTTATGCAGCTGCTAAAACTGATGATAAATTTGTTGGTGCAGGAATATATGTGTGTGCATGTGGAGAATTCTGCAGGGATATCATAGCTGATCTTCATTCTTTACACTGTTCTGTTTTTTCAAACTACTAGAATAGGATATTTACATTCCTAATATAAAGTAAATCTATCAGGTGAGAATGAATTTAACAGAAAACGTTTTTGGCATGGCACTTAGGAGAATTATTTTCTGGTGATATGATCAGAAGGTGCATGGCAGACTTTTACATTAGCCCTGGAATAGCTTTTAAGGACAGCCTTTCAAATTAGTTAGGTGTTGTAGTAATAACCAGGACTACTAAACTGACATAGACAGTGTGGAACTCTTGAGTGTGAGCACAGTCTGCTTCCAGAAATCAAAATCAGTGGTGTCTCCAAAGGCATTGCTTCACAGAAAGGTGATGACGTGAACTGGCCATAGAATGGAAGAAACGGAAGGTAAATATGTGAATGCTGGTGCCATAATCTCCGGTGCATGTATTGGCATCAAGAATCCATTGCCTTTTCTGCGGGTAAAGAGCCCACGTTAATGCCTTCTCCTTTTCCGTAGGTCTGTTATCTTTTGGAGTAAAAGAGTCTGCCTGGGTGAATAAATTCTTCACAGCTATTAATATTCTGGTCCTTCTCTTTGTAATGGTGGCCGGGTTTGTGAAAGGAAATTTGGCCAACTGGAAGATCAGTGAAGAGTTTCTCAAAAATATATCAGCGAGTGCCAGGTAAAATATTTAGCCCCTCCTACTCCCCTGTCTCCCCTCCCCCCTCCACTCTTTCTCTTACATTTTAAGAGAACATACTTGCAAGTTCTCTTCAGAGCAGCTGTTCTCAGTCTTGTTGGTGCTGAGACCTGTCTGGAGGATGGTTCTAGGATGCGGCTCCTCTTCCCAGGCTCCCCACACTAAGGTAGGGCTGGGCTTCCAACTGAGCCACTGGGTGAAGCTCTGCAGATGCTGGTCCCCAAGGCAGCCTCTAGGGCAGAGTCTAATCCTGCAAGAGCTCCCCCTCAGCTCCCCAACAGTTCACCAGCTCTAAATAACTAGGAATATTTTTGATTCTTGCATCCTGTGGTTTCTCCTTTGGGACCATCAGTTTCATGGTTTGCATGCTTTCAGGCTTTTAAGGATTTTGGAAGCCACATGGTCTTTCATGCCTTTAATCCCAGCATTTGGGAGGCAGAGGCAGGCAGATCTCTGAGTTTGAGACCAGCCGGGTCTATAGAGTAAGTCTCAGGACAGCTGGAGCTACACAGAGAAACCCTGTCGTGAAAAAAAAATTCTTTTTGGGAGCCTGTCTTAGTTAAAGTTTGTATTGCTGTGAGGACACACCATGAACACAGCAACTCTTATAAAGGAAAACATTTATTAGAGTGGCTTACAGTTTAAGAGGTTTAGTACACTATCATCATCGCTGGACATGGCAGCATGCGGGCAGCCATGGTGCTGGAGAAGGAGCTATATCTTGAAGGAGCTATATCTTGATCCCACAGGCAGCAGGAAGTGGTCTGAGACACTGTGCGTGGCTCTCTCCAGCAAGGCCACACTTCCCGTTAGTGCCACTCACTTGGGGGCCATTTTATTTTTATTAGTAGTATTACTTTCATAAGCAGACAAAAGATTACAGGAGTATCTATTATATGGTGTAAGGTACATGTTTTTTTATTTATATATATGTCATTTCCAGTCATCCTGATAGGGGAAAGATAGTGTCTACTGGTCTTATAGTTTTTAATATATGGTAACGCATTAAACTTTCAGGATGATTAATCAAGCCTATGGGATTCTGTTCTAACTTTTTCAACTATATTCTAAGTAAATTTTGGGGTTTTCTTTTCAATTTTTTAATTTTATTTATTCAGTGTTTATCTGTGTGTTTGTGTGTGTCTGTGTGTTTCTGTATATCTGTGTGTGTGTGTGTGTGTGTGTGTGTGTGTGTGACTGTGTGTATGTCTCTGTGTGTCTGTGTAACTGAGATAAGTGGGTAGATGTCAGAAGACAGTTTACAAGAGTCGATTGCCTTCTTCCAAGAAACTGTTCTGGTTCTGGGAATCAAACGCTGGTTGTCGGGCTTGTGCTTCTACATTGTCACCAATTTACATCACTGTAAATTTACATCGCAATTACATCACAATTTACATTACATCACCAGCCCCTAGATGAATTTTAAAGATGTACAGTCTGCCTTTCTTTTTGTTTCATGTGTTAAAAATTGATTCTTTGCAGGGAGGAGGGGAGAGAGAAAGTTCCTTACCTTTATTGTAGAGTGTGGCTCACATACGAGATCTCTGATGTCAAAACCCTGCTTGCCTGTGTGCTCCACCTAGCACATGTCTATGTAGATCAGCACAGTGGTGCTCACAGAAGGCCGAGGGAAGAGGATTGACAGAAGTTTAAGTCTAGCCTGAGCTATATTGCAGGTTCCAGGCCAATGCGGGCTCATAGTGAGACCTTGTCTGTCTGTCTGTCTGTCTTGGCCTTCTGTATTTGCTGTTGAATAGCCTGTAGTTGGATGTCAGTGACATAGAGCGTTTTTTTGTTGTTGTTGTTGTTTTTGTTTTGTTTTGTTTTGTTTTTTGAGTAAAACCGAAATTTATTATAAGCCACAGTCGTCCTAGGGACCTCCATGCTATATATATAGCCTCTATGGTTCAATGGGTTGTGGTCTGATTGTTCTTTATTTTATATCTAGAATCCACCTATGAGTGAGTACATACCATGACTGTCTTTCTGGGTTTGGGTTACCTCACTCAGTATTGATGTAACTAACTCTCTTATTAAATAAGAAACACAGAAACAATGTAAAGGAGAAAGCCGAGAGGTCAGAGCTCAGAGCTAAAATCTCACCCTTCCACCTGCGGTGTCCCAGCTTCCCGAAAAAGAGCTACTTCCTGTCTGTAAATTGATTTTCCAGTCATTCTGCCTTCTCATTGGTTGTAAACCCAAACACGTGACTGCCTCGTCACTGTCTGAATGTACAGCCCCCTAGGTCTTAAAGGTATATGCCTCCAATGCTGGCTGTATCCCTGAACACACAGAGATCTATGGGATTAAAGGCGTGTGCCACCACCGCCACACTCTTGCTATGGCTCTAATAGCTCTGACCCCCGGACAACTTTATTTATTAACATACAATCAAAATCACATTTCAGTACAATTAGATTACTACCACAACTCAGGATGATTTTTTCTAGTTCCATCCATTTGCCTGCAAATTTCATGCTTTCATTGTTTTTCTCTGCTGAGTAGTACTCCATCATAGAGCATTTTTTATTGTGAGGGAGTCTACCATGTTCTGTAGAACAAAATGACAGAATACAGTTTTGGTCTTATATACATTAGCTCCAAAGAGCCAATGAGCAACAACAGTCTTCCAAGGATGCGGTTTGGGAGAAATCACCAGAAAGTACAGTTTCTGTGAAGTGGCTGATAGTGTCTGTTTTTTTATTTCAGAGAACCACCTTCTGAGAACGGAACAAGCATCTATGGGGCTGGGGGCTTTATGCCCTATGGCTTCACCGGAACTTTGGCTGGCGCTGCAACTTGCTTTTATGCCTTTGTGGGCTTTGACTGCATTGCCACAACTGGTAAGGGCGGTGTCTCCTCGATAGTTCGGAGCACAGGGTTCCACAGGGGTAGGGAGCTGCAGGTACAGCAGAGGGTCAAGGAGAGAGGATGAGATGTGGGGTGGGAAGGGTACCAACTCCAGATCCACCCGTGGCCCACACTGCACCTGGTACAAAAGCCACTGGGTGGAACTCTCAGAGCACTGGTGTCTGTCCTGTCCAGAGCAGCACCTACCCTGAGGATATTATGATGACCACCTAAGACAACACATCTGGCTGATTGGATGAGGAATCTTAAATGATGCTCACAATTCCTTAACCTTTCAACTAAAAGTTCTTTGTCTTCCAGAATGGTCATTGTCTTAAATTGTCTCTTCCATTCACCAGGCAAAATACTTTACCACTTCTTTTCTCTTTATCCCAAGTGACAAAATACTCACCCTGGCATCTTTCAAGCTTTCCAGGTGCATAACCTGGTAATTCACTCATGTATCTGGGGAGCTTCAAATGTTAATATTGTAAGAAGGATATTCTGATTTTTTTTATAGAAACTAAAGTTTCATATAAATAGATAAAATAAATTTGTTTGAAGCCTTGTAGTTCAAAAGCTTACAAAATACCAATGTGGCTGTTTCCCACATCAACTGCCATTCTAGGTCTAAACACTTAAGAAGGGCTCACGGGTCGTTTTCCCCCCCGACTTTTCGCAAGTAAGAAACTGACGTGTATATTCTGTTCTCTTCTCCCTCTGATAATTGGATCATTTTTTGTTAATACCAAAGTATCCTGAAGAAGAGAAAGGAAATTTCACATGAAATAGATAGAACCCACTAAGAATGTAGAAGGGTAAAAACATGGTAGAATGACCATGGAGGCAGGGGGTGAAGGATGCTTTGATCCACAGGAAGTTTCTAAGCTGTTTGACTGTTAACTAACCATGCAAACCTTCTGTCTGTGTTTCCTTAGGTGAAGAGGTCCGGAATCCCCAAAAAGCTATTCCCATCGGAATAGTGACTTCCTTACTGGTTTGCTTTATGGCCTATTTTGGGGTTTCTGCAGCTTTAACGCTTATGATGCCTTACTACCTCTTGGATGAGAAGAGCCCCCTTCCTGTAGCATTTGAATATGTTGGCTGGGGTCCCGCCAAATACGTGGTTGCTGCAGGCTCCCTCTGCGCCTTGTCAACAAGGTACATGGTATTGTCCGTGGGACTGGGTCTCCCAGGGGTCTTGCAAAGTGTAGTCAATATCTTCAAATTTGCTTTAGTGGGTTTTAAGGATAGCTCTGTGGTAGAATGTGTGACTAGCATTCTGGAGGCCCTGGGTCAGTACCCTAGCCACTGGTACCACAAGATGGATTTTGTATATTCTAAAAATATCCTAACATGAGGAATGCATTATACAACTATGCACTCAATGAATAATTTGCCCAGAACCTCCTCCTAAAAATCTTGAGTGATTCCAAAAAAAGAAAAAGCGACCATCATCAGCTAAGCCAGTTTTTTTTTTCTTCAAGATAATGGTGTTCTAAGCTACAATAGTAATATGCATAGCACTGGGACCCCCACATACCTGTGTCACACATAATCACATATTACATTAGACACCTTTGGGGTGTTCATGCTACTGCCATCAGTATTGTTCACGTTGTTTCAGTTAGAGACCATACACAGACTTCACCCTTGGGACAATTCTCTGTAAAGCAACAGTGTGTCTGGGACCAGAAGCCATATGCTCTGTCATTTTTTAAAATGGAAATGTGCTTCTGACTGTGACATACTGAACTTTTTTTCCTTATAGCACTGATCAGAGTGGATTTATTCAAGAGACAGAAATTACCATTCTGACATTACCAGTGGACATTATTTATTTATATGAAAGGCAAAGGGAATTTGACTGTCAAATGTTCAGATTTCCAGGAGCTCCTCATTTAATATGTTACAGCTCAGGTTTCCAAAGCCTCTCATGATCCAAAGCAACACATTTTATTCTAGTTCCTACCACACTGCAGAGTAGAACATTCTCAAAGAGAAAAGCTTTTTGCCTGAGAATTCCTTTTTTAAATTGAGAACAGTTTTCACAATTCTGAAACTAGACATTTTTCTCAGTATAATTTATCACCGTGATTTTTATTTTTCTTCTTTCAAATGTACTTTTAGTTTCTAGTGTCCTGGTCCCAATAGTACTAAGCAAGTTTAGGAATTCTCAGTCATCTGCTGTTGGTGAGGTTTATTATGAAGAATTTTGAAGAGTTTGAAGTCCAAACTTTGAAGACACTGTGCCACCATGATCTTCAAAGCCTGTGGCTACATCAACTACTGATGCGCGGCCTACTACTATGGTTGGGCCTTGCACATATATAATTTGGATTTTTGGAAACTTTTGCTGTCAACTTTGGAAAAGAAGTTTCTCAGTTTACTGTGTTGGGTTGGCATTGTACAGAAACCAACAGCCACATTGGACTAGAAGTGTTAATTTTTTTCCATTTGTGCAAGGGTAACACACTGAATTAAATATGTATGGTCTCATCTGTGCAGATTTGATGACAGAAACTAAAATATTCTCTAAACAATGGGGTAAAAAAGAAAAAGAAAATAGTTGTTTTTGGAGACGAGGTCTTGCTGTGTAGCCAGTTAGCCTGATTCTTGCTGTGAAGTCCAGGCTAGCCTCAAAATTCAGCCATCTTCTGCCTCAACTTCTCAAATGATAGGGTTTCAGCCATGAGCCACCATGCCCAGCCAAAAACAATAAGAAAGCTTTTAGAATCGAATATTTTACCTCTTTTTCTTAGTTACTTTCACAGCTGAATCATATGTAGAATGACACAATAGTAAACATAAATATTGAATTTACCTTAAGCAAAAATTGTCCATTAAGCCTCACTGTTACTAACACTTAATTGTAGCTCCTTCTATATACTAAATCTATAGTATGTTTTTTTTTAAGCCATTGTTTACCTTGATAATTTTGATGCTTGGAACTATTACTTGTATCAAAGATCAAGCTAGAGGTTGCAAAATCATGGTAATATGAAAAATACATAACGCTGTATAAGTGGGTGACTTACTGTGACATAAAATGGATTAATCTTTTTTAATGACCCATTAATTTGGGAATTTTGCCTTCTGGATTGTTAACACTAAAACATCTTGGTGTTTCATCCTTCATTTTATTTTGCACTTTTAATTCAGTAACAATCATGGATACAAACAAATGACTTGCGATACTGTTGTCAGTCTTATAATTTGTGTGGGCAGATATTTGCAAGAGTACTGGGTAACACAATGGCCGATATTGGCAGGTGTGTTTAAATGCCCAGTTATATTGCACTGTAAGCCTGTGTGAGTTCTTGGTCCCAGCTGCCGCGCTGAGTGTATTACAATCACTGTGTTTCTCTTCTGGGTGTGATCATGCATGACCGTGTTTGCCATACTGCATGTCTTTGCTTTTTACTCAGTCTTCTTGGATCCATTTTCCCAATGCCTCGTGTAATCTATGCTATGGCGGAGGATGGGTTGCTTTTCAAATGTCTAGCTCAAATCAATTCCAAAACGAAGACACCAATAATTGCTACTTTGTCATCGGGTGCAGTGGCAGGTGAGAGAGTTGACTTTTACTAAGAAAAGGGGGATCGTTTTCATCCAGAACTCTGGAAAATGTGGAGTTAGGTGGTTTTCTGTTCTGATTAACGTAAGGTTCAGTAACTTTGTGACTTTCTTATTTTGATATTTTGACTTCTTTGTGTACCTGTATGTACGCTGGTAGAGTGATACTCAACTCACGTTGGATTATGAATTTTTCTGTTCTAGTCTTCTGGGTTCTATGTTCCCCTTACCCCGCATTCTGTTTGCCATGGCCCGGGATGGCTTACTGTTTAGATTTCTTGCGAGAGTGAGTAAGAGGCAGTCACCCGTTGCTGCCACGTTGACCGCGGGGGTCATTTCTGGTAAGCTTTACAAACCCGGGGTTTCTCCATCATTGGACTAAAACGTGCTGTGCGCATGCGTGGACTTAAAAAGGGTCTGCATGCTGTGCATGTAAGTTAAGATCAAAATCCTGGGTAAATTAGTGTGTGAATCTTGGGATTAACATCTGACAATTATGGTGATGGTGAAACACTGAAATTCATTCATAACTAATCACTGGGGATTCTGTGTTTTTACTACTTTAACCATTCAGGCATCTAACCAATGTACAAAGAGTTAATGACTCTCCACTATGTATTAGGTATCACTCTTCTAACTGGTGAATAAGCACATAAAGTTATAATTTGGGCACAGAAAAAAATTCTAAGTTGAACCATTGCTTAATATTGGAAGTACTAATTTTAAAATAATGATTGCAGGACTTTTGAAAAACTAAATTTTACCAACTCTTAGTCTACCGTAAGAAAAGAAATGCCAGAGATAATCTGAAGTTGGTTGTCCTCACTGCCCAGAGTGAAGTGGGTTGCCCAGCAGGGTTAGACTTGTACCTTCTCAGCCCCCATTAGGAACCCAGTTGTCCTTCAGTAATTTGGACATGCGGGTTTTGCTTTTAGAATACAGATTGCCTACACTTTGACATGCTATGGTGTCCATGTTAATTACCTCTGGTCAGGTTCTTAGAGCATGCAGGAATTTCCAGGGATGGTATAAACTGAGACAGTAGTCTTAAGGGTCCCGACACAGAAAGAAGAGAAAGACTGTAGTGAACTTTATAGCTAAGTGAATTGAAACTATCTCAGGAGTAGATGTTTGAATAAAAACTCTGACTTTGTTAAGACTCCAATGTGCTGGGAAGTTGGGATCAAGAATGTTTTATTACCTATCCAGTTGGTTTTTCTTTCAGGTCAAGAAACATTTGCCTAAATAGTTTTCACCTGGCACACATCTTCTAAATCTGACACTTGAGATGTATGTAAGAAGGTCAAATCATTTTTCTCAGGCTTAAATTTCTGCCCTCATAAAATGATTTTTCTAGGTCAGTGGTTATCCACCTGTGGGTCGCAATCCTTTTGGGGTTGCATATCAGATATCCTGCATATCAGAAATTTATATTACCAGTAGCAAAACTATAGTTATGAAGGAGCAACAAAATAATTTTATGGGTGGGGGGTCACTATAACATGAGGAACTGTACATGAGGTCAGCACATAGGAAGGTTGAGAAGCACTGTTCATCATAATGGTAAGGCGAGCCACGTCATAAATACTTCTCCACAAAGTAAAAAGCTTTCCCATTAATAATTCTACCTTGAATGTAGAATTTTAAAGAATTAAGTTTTCCTTCATTTAGGAAGAATGGAATTTAACATTATAGTAAGACAGTTAATGGTGGAATGTTTTCTAAAATATTGTATATTTTACATCCTCACACCCAAATTTGCAGATTTTTCGATTTAGATTGGAGAATTTATATGAATAATTAGTATTTGGCTATCTGTGGTCATCACAAGCATGCTAAAAGTTTAATAATCTATTATATAAGTATACTAGTAATGAGATGTTTGCAGAGGGAGGCATGTGGTGCATATTCAGAGAGAAGATGAAATATTGTGGAGTTGTAAGGGCAGGAAAGTTCTGCCAGTATCTACCCATTGTAACCTTCTTAAGTCAACCTGTCTACAAGACAGGAATAATCCTATCAAGGAAGACCATGGGAAGTTGCTGGATTTGGTAAAAAAAAATAAGTAAATAAACAAATAAATAGTCAACAAATACTGTACATTTTATATACCTAAAATGGAAGTAATTTCCTCTGCCTGCTAGGGTCATTGATGGAAGATAAAGTGAGGTTATAGACTATAAAAATTGTAAAGAAGGTAAAGAAGTCTAGGACATCATATTGAATGTGGTGTTATCTATTTACTAAGATAGGGTGGTAAGTTCAGCTAATATAAGGTATTTTTACTTATTAAGATTATTGAGATTTCGTGTACAGGATCGTAAGTTGATCTTTCCCATCTAATCAGTCTTCCAGAATGTGTGGCTTTAATTTGATTGGAGTTTACTCTATATCCCAAAATGTCATTTTATTGAAAAATACGTATTATTTTTGTAAAGACTACTTAAAATGTTCTGAGTCGCATATGACTTGATACAGATAGAATTTAAAGTGATTATATAGTCTGTTATATAGAAAATTGGTATTGCCTGGCAGTGTTTCTTTACCTTCCAAGACCTCAAAACGCAGTATTTTGTTATTTAATATTTTCACACTTGGTCAAGCCAAGTATGTCTTAAATAATGGTACCAGATGTATTTAGTGTTTCCCAAAGACCTGGGGGCTTTGAAGTGTTAGTGTTATCAGTTTATATGGCCCAGAGACCATCTTATGATGTTGTGATGTTGATCTGTTTTTGGTACCCAAAGAGAAAAGTGTCAGTCAGCTGTCCCTGACTGAGTGACCAACTATAAGAAATGTCCTCAGAGGCCTTCGGCTTTACCTTTCTTATCTGTTTCCCAATAGCTGTGATGGCTTTCCTTTTTGACCTGAAGGCTCTTGTGGACATGATGTCCATCGGCACCCTCATGGCCTACTCTCTGGTTGCAGCCTGTGTGCTCATCCTCAGGTGAGTCTCTGTAGGTTCTGAAGAGTGTGTGCCCGGTGGGATACAGGGAGTACAGACAGGAAGGACTACAAAGAGCTGGCAGTTTCACCAAAGTGGGAGGCCGTGGCCATTAAAGCAGTAAGATGGAGTACGGGAAGCAGACTTGGCTTTTAGCAAAAAGTCAAGGTTAGTTTGACCCTTACCAATAGCTGGTCCCAGTCTACAAGACAGTTTATTAAAATGTGTGGAGATACATAAACGTGTTGTGTTTTTGGAATTGTAAATACTAGCAGACAGACAAATAGAGCCCTATTCTTGTCTACTACACAGCACTGCCTTTGTTATATTAGCAATATATCCTGAATATTTTCCCAAGTCAATAAATGTATATCTCCCAAATATGTATGTACTTACCAGTACTTTTGGCATTAACAATTTAGTGCTAAGATTTTTCCTAAAGACCTTATCATGGAGACACCAACAAATAGATGTAAATGGTGCTCACAGAAAAGGTAGATTGACAAGTGTGAAGAAAACATAATTGGCTTGAGTAACAGTAGGAGAACAGTGACGTAAAAGAGGGTACATTTATTCAGTGGCTTCTTCTATGGTTAAAAACTGCCATTTCGGTATATTGATAACTATTCCAATTTGAAGACACAAAGCTACAGCATTTGGATTTGTTTAAATAACATTACAGATTTACATTAAGAAATAATGAATGTTGATGTCTGCATACGTTCCAAGACGAACTTGTACCGAAATGCTAACGGCGATTAAGTTAATGGTGCCATGGGTCATTATGCCTTCCTTCTGTATTCCTTTGTGCATTTTCCTTAGTGGATGCATTTCTTTACACGGGGGAGGGGGCGTTTCTGAAATAGGCAAGGGCTGTGGGTACTAGGTCGTGAAGCAGGTGATACACTGAGGGGTTGTAGCGGAATGGGGGACAAAGAACAGAGGAAAATGGTGCCCGTGGCGTAGTTAGGTGGCCAAGTAGCTGAGTGAGCATCTCCGGGTGAAGCTAGATGAGTCAGGTTAGAAACAAGGAAACACAGGCAGAGAGTCAGGCTCTGATGGCAGCCTTTGAATGCCAAGCCCAGGGGACTCTGGCTTCCATAGCTGGTGGCTGTTCCTGTGCCGTTTTCATGAATCGCGATTCCAGTGGGCACCGGAGGCTGCGGGTAGCATCCTGTCGCCATCACTGCTTCACGTTTAATCTTAACTTTACTTTTTGGCATCTCCCATACAACTCTCTGACTACACAGCAGTGAGGGGGCGTTCAGAGTTGCTGTGGGTATTTGATGGGAGAGGTTTGTCCCCTTGCCTAGCTGGGCACCCTGTGAGTTGGAGTCACGAGACGTATCACCTGACCGCACACACTGTGGCTTTGTAAAGCATCTCACCAAAAGAGTTTAAGGTGGCAACTTCACGTGGGCCGATGAGAGTCAAGACGCCGATATTTATTTGGGGATAGGTACCAACCTGGCCTGTGTTATGAGCAGCCCAAATACACCCCTGAGAAGGAAATTCCGGAATCGTGTACCTGCGCGACGTCAAAAAGCGAGTCCCAGGTCACCATGATACAAGGACAGGGTTTCAGCCTCCGGACCCTCTTCAGCCCCTCTGCCCTGCCCACGCGACAGTCGGCTTCCCTCGTGAGCTTCCTGGTGGGATTCCTGGGTAAGTCCTCACTACAGATGTGGAAAGGCCCAGTAGATGTGGGTGTGTAGAGCCAGTGCTTGTGGGAGGGAAAGGACAAGGCCTCGCGTTGCCTGGGACGTGTTAGCAGCCAACTTGAGACATGCAATTTGACCTACGGAGGTACTGGTAGTTGGGGTCCTGGTATATTATGTAGGAAGGTTTATGAGCTGGAGAGAAGGCTCTGTGGGTAAGCACATGCTGCACAAATGTGAGGCTCTGAGTGGAGATTTCCAAAACCCATGTGAAGCCGGGTGAGGAAGTACATGCCTGTGATACCAGTGTGACCGTGGCATGGTGGGACTTAGAAAGAGAATTCCCCAGTAGCTTGCTGTACACGGCGACAAATAAGGGACTCTGCCTCAAACAAAGTGGAAAGTGGCAACCAACCTCCAAGGCTATCTCCTGACCTCCGCGTGCATGCCATGACACACGTTTCCACAGTCGCACACATGCACACAAAAGCAAGGGATTCCTACAGTAAGAGTGGCAGAATTATATGCTGGCACATTCCATTAGCTCAAGGTGCTCCCTGTGTTGAAGAATCAGGCCAAGTAACAGAACTGGAACCTGATGGTACTGGGAAGCAGTATAGGAAAGATTTGTTTGCTCAACTGGTTACCTAATCTTCTTTGTGTTTAGTGACATCTACTGGGTATTACCTGAGTGCCAAACACTGTTCTGGGCACTTGGGGTAGCAAGACAGACTCTTGCCCTTGGAGATGGTACAATAAGACCATGGCAAACTAGGGAAGAACAAGTTTCTCCGAGAGCAAATAGGAGGGGCTTTTATCACATACTTGATGATCAGAAGAAGCCTGACATCATTGCCTGGAATTGGAAGATTCAGATCATGTGATATTACTTGTTTGCATTAACAAATAATCTTTATAAATAGCTTAAATAGGCAATGCTCCATTCTTCATTTGAGAAAAAAAAAAATGGAAGCCACACACCACCGAAAACATCCTATCCATATAGTCTGAGGATAGGAAATGAGGAGTCTCATGGCAGACAAAGCAGGATGTTAGTGGCAAATGGGAAGGTTGGCTTCTAAAAAGACAGAGATGAGGACATGTCCATGCTTCCTAGATGGGTGAAGTGCACTGTCTCTTTTGCACAATAGAAAAGAAGTGAGGGGTCGGTGTGCAAAGTAGATTATAAAGAGCTTGATGCTGTGCCAGGATAGACCACTAGGTCTGAGAAGCATGGGGAAAGGATGTGTGCTGACTCTGCCTTGTGTCCTGACCCCCCACAGCCTTTCTCATCTTGGGCATGAGTATTCTAACCACGTATGGAGTCCAGGCCATTGCCAGACTGGAAGCCTGGAGCCTGGCTCTTCTCGCCCTGTTTCTTGTTCTCTGCACGGCCGTCATTCTGACCATTTGGAGGCAGCCACAGAATCAGCAGAAAGTAGCCTTCATGGTATGTGAAATAGTAATTAGAAATCCTAATTATTATATATACACTTCCTCTGTGTGTTTTCTGTGTTTAATTTTTCTGAGCAAAGGCAATCAATGGACAAGACTGTCAAAATTCTTTGATGAATTCCTTTTAGTCACAGTACATGAGTTATCTTACTCCCCTTCTCAAAAACTTGAGGATGCATACGTACATACATACATACATACAGTCAATGAATAATTTTTGTGTTGAACAGTCTACAGTATCACAAAAATAATTCCTGAGATTCTGGGTTTAATCCTCAGCACTGAAAATTAATAATTAAATTAAGATGAAAAGAAATAAAGAAAGGGCCAGGCGGTGGTGGCACACGCCTTTAATCCCAGCACTCGGGAGGCAGAGCCAGGCGGATCTCTGTGATTTCGAGGCCAGGCTGGGCTACCAAGTGAGCTCCAGGAAAGGTACAAAGCTACACAGAGAAACCCTGTCAAAAAAAAAAGAAAAAAAAAGAAAAGAAAAAAGAAAGAAAGAAAAGAAAAGAAATAAAGAAAGGAAGACAATTTGAGGATCTTATTTTCAGAGATCTGAAGCCCTCTTGTGAGGACTTATTCCCACCAAGTGCCTTCATCTGCAAACTGAATTATCCCACCCCACTGGAGCTAGGAGTAGGCTTGGGTACATCCTCCAGGATGCTGCATGTATCCAGAGTTCCAGAAGCATTCCCTGCTGAGGGCCAGATGAGACCACTAGACTCTGAGCTACACTGATGCCTAAGCCCTGTGGTGTCTTGATGATAACCTGCAGATGTGACTGTGTTTCTTTCAGTGCCAGCATGTCATGTCAACAGTGACTTGCCTTCCACTAGTTTCTATAGGGATGGCATTTATTCAGGTTCTCCATTTTTTGAGACTGTAAGCTTAGTGACACAGTATGCGTACATGTCAGATATTGACACGCCCTTGACGTTACTTGGAGACCGTGCTTCTACAGTAGCACTGTATTCAAAGGATGTTTCTTCCCATAGGTCCCGTTCTTACCCTTTCTGCCAGCCTTCAGCATCCTGGTCAACATCTACTTGATGGTCCAGTTAAGTGCGGACACTTGGGTCAGATTCAGCATCTGGATGGTGCTTGGTAGGTCTTGTAATGCCTTACGCTTGTGGAGTTTGGTTCACCTTGCTTTGTGGGCTGTGGTTACAGGAATGATGTGCTCGCTCCCTTCCTAAAACTAAAGGTTCTCATTTCCCCCCATTCCGACTTTATCTCAACGTTTACTTCCCCCATGTTTCCAAACACCTTTTCTTTGTGCTTTTCTCCTCCCTTTCTTTTCCTTTCTTTTGTGCTGAGGACTCAACCCAGGCCCCAGACATGCTATCCCAGGCCTCTATCACTGAGCCACGTCTCCAGCCCTTCAGATGCTACTTTTCATTCATTCATATCTCCCAGTGACCCTGGAGTTCACACAGATTCTGCTTTCTCCAACTTGTGAATGAGAAAAGGAAGCCCTCCAGGAGTTGTCATAACAATCCCAACTCTCACCCAGCCTTCTAAAAATAGAACTAAGAATGGGTAAATACATATTTATAAATAGTTTTCCTCTAAGGATGCTTAAAACATGGCCTCCTTTCCCTCACAATTAGAATAGTTATTGACAGTCATTTTGTGCCCAGGCCTTAGGCCTCCCATTTGACAGTAACAGGTAGAAGGACATCCCTATCCAATGTGAACACGGGGCATGCTTTCCAGACTACCCGACCATGACTCTGATAACTCACTGCTAGGATTTCTTATGTAATGTGAGCCTCGCCATCATTCTGCTTAAAGTTATTCTGTTGAGTTGTGAGAACATAAATAGAAAATTTCCACCTAACTGCTGTCTGAAAATGCTTGTTGAGATAAAAATATATTCTGTAGCATTGGGATGTTACAAATGAAGAGGTGCTTTCTGTCTAGAATAGGAGATCTGTGCAACTTCTCATTTTCACATTCTGTTTTTCATTTTCAAGATTTTTTATTTAAATATATTTTAAATTGAAATATAATTATATTACTTTCCCTCATCCCTTCCCTCCCTGAAGCCCCACCCAAGTACCTCCCTCTAGCCCCTCCCTTGTACACACACACACACACACACACACACACACACACACACACACACACACACAAACTCTGAAGTTGATAGCCTCTTACCAGGCTTTTTCTTTTGGACCACCAGTCAGCTCCCAAATCATAGCATGGAGACTTCTTATGAATGCTCAGCCTTAGCTTACGCTCCTTTCTGGCTAGCTCTCGTCATCTGTGTTTTGCCTCAGGACTCTTTACCTTTCTTTCTGTATGTCCTACTCGGTGTCTGCTGGCTGGGGACTGCCTGCCTGGCCCCAGGAGTCTCTCCCTCTTTTGCCCTCTTTCTTCCTGAGCCTTGATTTCTCCTATTTATTCTCTCTGCCCGCCAGCCCCGCCTGTCCCTCTCCTGCCTAGCTACTGGCTATTCAGCTTTTTATTGGACCAATCAGGTGCCTTAGGCAGGTAAGGTGCAACAGCAACACATCTTTACATCGTTAAACAAATGCAGCGGAAGCAAATGCAGCTCACACCATTGCTCACTTAAATTAATATTCCACAGCATAAACAAATGTAACACATCTCGACATGGTTCAATATTCCACAACGGCCTCTAGAATTGCAGGCAACAACTAACAACTGCTGGAGGAAGGAGACTTAGCCTCTCCCGGGGATGAGCCCCCTTATTGGTTGTCCAGTGTGGAGTGGTCAGCCCTGAAGCCATATCCACACGGATGACAGAAGCAGACTCAGCAGATTGTATTTATATAGTATATATGCACACATTCTGTTTTCCCAAGGTTGCACAGAAAGAGAGGGGGAGACTTACTGTATTAAGTTGTCCACATTAAAACACTTCCTAACACATTGATATGCTTTTCCTCCCCAAAGGCTTTCTGATTTACTTCGCTTATGGTATTAGACACAGCTTGGAGGGTAACCCCAGGGATGAAGAAGATGATGAAGATGTTTATTCAGACAACATGCATGCAGCAACAGAAGAAAAATCCGCCATGCAAGCAAACGACCATCACCAACGAAACCTCAGTTTACCTTTCATATTCCATGAAAAGACAAGTGAATGCTGATGCTGGCCCACGGTTTTACCACACACAGCTTACAAGGAGTGAACTATGGCAGGACGTCACCATCATGCTGGGATGTCATGGGTTTGCTGCAGAGATGGTCCACCTAAGTTATATTTCCTCCTCCAGACAGCTTCTCTTCAGATGGTGAATTATGGGTCTGGGGAAACTGCCTGAGCGCACTCCTCAGCAATGAGTATCCCCAAAGTAATGTGTCTGTGTGCGTACATGTGTGTTTGGGAATGTGAGTGTTAAGTGTCGTTGGTTTTTATTACTATGTGGCATTGTTCCAGCGTTGTGATGGGTGACAGATCCTGCACGTACTGATAGAGTATATTGCCCAATAGAAGTGTGTTCTGCATATGTCCTAGGTAGTTAAGATAATAGTGATGGTTTTCCTTAGTAGGTCTGTGACTGTCAATTTGGACATACTGAAAATGTAGCCACCTTTCAGAGGTTTAGCAGTGGTCAGGAGTGGGGAGGGGATAAGGAATGAGCCTTTTCTATAGATGACAGTGCCTCTGTAGAATTTTTACACATCTTCTTCTCCTACTTGTTAGGACAGTTCACTAAAACTTCAGCCCTGGGGAGTGTTTGGTTTTTAAGTATGACAGGATGGAGAGAGAGAGAGTCTGTGACATCAGATGATCACTCCTGTTTGTGAGAGCCTTGATCCTTACACATAACACTTCCACCTGCTATAAGTGATATGCTTCCCCAACCCCAGCCCCACTGAAGACTCAGGAGAGGTACCAGGGCCTCCTTGGGACCCTTTAAGCCAGAAAATGAAGGTGGTCCCATGGCCGGAAGACCAGAGGCGTAGACAGAGGCTCAGATAGGCTTTCTGTTTTTAAAAGTGAATGAAGACAGTCCAGGTCCCCATGTCACACATTTGGTGGAATGGTTCAGGTTGTTTTCCGTTACTAAGCACCCAATCACAGCTCAGCGGCTGTCACTGCATCAGCCGCTCTTTTGCTTCTGATAGTTTCTCTGATCTAGATGGAAAGGGACACTGTAGCAAATTCTATCTTTACAACATACAAAGAAGAAGAAGATGAAGGGGTGTGGGGAAATACCTCTAGTCCAGTCTCACGGGGCATTGGGGCCCAACTTATGGATTTTGAGACCTAATATACCTCTGATGTTTCTTTTAGAAATGTTTAGAGATTCCTGCTCCACCCCACCCCATCATTTATCACTTTTTCTTTCATTTGCTTTTAAATGACCGCATTAAGCCTATTAACACAAGCTCTGATATTATACAATCAATCATCAATTACTTTCAGAACACAGTTATTTAAAACTTTGAGTTAGATAACCAAATTGAATTAAAAACACAGTGATCTTTGTATATGATTAAATAAATTTTATATGTAAGATTCTCTGCTACATTTTACTTTATAGGGTTCACTGATAATGGATTATACATCTCCAATCTTTCTTATTCCTCATGAGTTAATTTTGTATGAATAATTAAATGGTTTGTCAGGTAAATTTAGAGGCTAGACACTTAACACAGGTGTAGCACTCCCAGGAGACTGTGTGTTACCAGGAATGCTAGTTACCTGGCGTAATCCAAAGACAAGGAAAACAGTTGCTTTCTCATAATTTTTCTAAGAGATTGTTTATTTTACTGATGCTGTTTAAAGGCAAGTTGCAATCCTTCATGTGGAAGTAGACATTTATTGAGATTAATTATCAGACAAGCAGGCAAAGGTTCTGGGTTCTTGGCTGTTAGGGGTGCCTCCCTAACCCAGGGCTCAGTGCAGACATTCCAAAATTTCCAGGGTGCACGTGATAAAATCTGAAGCCCAGACACTCTTTCCAAACTGCTTGCTTTACTACAGAAGAAAAGTAGGAGAAGCAAAGGCTAAAATAGTTTGGAGAGGTCTATAGGCATGATCAGGAATTCTTGCTATCATTAATGGCTGCCCAGAGAGGGAGAATCAAGGATGAGCTCCCTGGTCAGTGACGTGATCCCAATTGGTCAGCATTAAATACTTCTATACACAAGCAATACTTAATGGACTCAGCAGGTTCTTTATACACACACACACACACACACACACACACACACACACACACACACACGTATGTAACAATCATAAAGAAGAGGTCATGGATTTGATAGACTATTGGGGCAATTGTAGCGGGGGGAGGGGAAGGGAGGGTAGAAAATGATCAGAACTGTAAATTCATGTAAAAAAATTCTCAAAAAATTTTAAATTTAAATTTAAAAAAATCCTTGCTGTTACAGCAGTGCTCTTTGCTCAAAATGTGAAGAACTTCATACATGAATGTCTGAATGTCTTACTGTAACAAAAAACAGATTTGTTTGGACCGTGATAGGCAACTAGAAGTACTATGCCCACTGTGTTCAGTTAGGAGCAGAATGTTCACACCAAAACACGTTGGAAACACAGATGTCTGTGAAGAGATGTTTTGTCAGAGACCATACTCTTCTCTTTTTTTTTTTTCTGTGAAGACCCAAATGGACAGGCATGTCTGTATGTGTATAACGTTTATAAACACATTGGTATATGTATGTGTGATGTATATTTGTGTGTGTTTGTGGGGGGAGGGGGCATTCGGTTATCAGTGTCTAAGTTGGGTTTCTGATGAGCTTTGGATGTCATATTGTTACATAGATAAAAACCCAATTGCTGTGGAGAGAGATTAATGTTTTATATTGATAGATATTTTAGATTTTTAGCTATTTTAAAATATACAATTTTATATGTATGTTTTCTATAGATAGATTCTTTAAGACATATTTATCATGTTTCTAATATGAAATCACTAGACTATACTATATTATGACAGGTGCTTTGGAATCTGAATGGAGTAGGGGTAGGAACCTTGGGGTATTCTTTTTTGTGTCTATAGTACTGTTTCTGACACACATGTTCTTGGGTGTGCTGGGCAGTAAACGCCAGTACTACCAGCTCTTTGCCAACCCTCTGTCCTCCCAAACTTGAGTTCATAACACTTTGAACATAACATCCTATTCTGTTTTGTAGGATCACCAAAATATTTTGTATAGATTTGACTAGTGGGCAAATGCTCCAGAATCTCAAATGTGGACACCTTCTATTCATCATGATGAGCAAAAGCAGTTTGTAGTACTTTTTTTTCTTACACTAAGAACTGTGTTGTTGGTATTTTCAATGAGATTGTCTCATCACAGCACCTTAACTTCATGCCTTCACAAAAGAGAATGCTCTGTGAATTAGCACATAAATGTCAGGCCAACCATATATTTAAAAGGACGGTTATAAAAATTCAAGGTTAAAGCTCCTGAGAAAAACTTAACTAGAATCTTTGAGATATAAAAACTATCTTAATCTTGTTTCCTTAGTGATAAAAATGTCAAGAAAAATAACCAAAATATTATCTATATACATGTATATATCATATACAAATATATATCAATGTTAATATGTAGACTCAACATTGAAACTACTTTTGGTATGTTACCTTTAGTACTACTAGCTGTAATTGATTTAAAAAGAATACCAGCTTATGAATCATCTTTCTAAAGAATAAAAGGTTAGATAATTTTAGTTTTTATAAAGTTTTTTTTTATTTTAGTCATTTTTTTCCAAGTCCTAAATGTTTGCAGGTAGTTGTTTAAAAGGTTTTCTAATAAAACACTGTAATTCAGAATTGTTACTAGATAATTTTCTAAGTTTGTTTGAATATTTAGCACAGGTGAAGAAAAGTAATTGTCCTACAGTGCTAAGGACTCAGAAAGAATACCTGCACCTTACCCTCTTCTTATATCAAGTGTGTGTGTGTACATGTGCGCATGTGCAAATGTGGCTGTGTAAAAAAAAAAATATGTATCCCAAAATTGCCACCCAGATAATGAAGTTGCACTAAAGTCCCAGCTCTTGCTTCCTTGCAACAACCTAGGGATTTCTCCAGATACACTTCAAGTGGTAGTCCCCCAAATACAATTTCGACAGCACTTTAAAAGATTGGGTTTAGTGTTATTAATGGATGATTCACATTCACGTAGTGTGTAGGGGTTGGTGACATGAGTGACGCTAACTGTTCTTTTTGCTAGTGCCCAAATTGTGCCTTCTCTGTACGTTTTTCTATTTTATATATCAAGGAAAAGTACTGAAATTCATGTAGTAAATAATGCCAGCCAAGGTCATCTTAGCTACAGATGTGAAAATAAGATTGCTAGACTTTGTTGTTTAGCTGAGGTTTTTTTTTCCCTTGTATACTTATATTTATAGAATTTAAAATAGCTTTGTGGATTTTGAGAGGTCTTATACTACTGTTGTATTGCTGGTTTAGGTGTTGGCTTTTGTAGTATTCGTGATTGTTTATATTTACACAGTTTTGGTCTTACTGATTTCAAATGTATTCTGTTATGACATAACCCAGTTTGAACACTACTGGTCAGGAGTTCTGGACTTGTCTGTTCTTACGGCTGAAGCCATTGCCACAGTCTCTGGGCTCTAAGCAGCCTTTCTGACCACTGATAGGCCCGTAGAGAGTACAGCTAGGACCCCAGTTTGATGCCACAGCCAGGCAGCCTACTGTACATGGGTGTCTGTTCTTACACTTTGGCAGTGTCTACGATAGTGAGGCAGAGTGGGAAGCAAAGGATTTCTAATGAGTAGAAGGTCATCTGGGATCCCTAACTTCAGTCCCAAATATCTCCTCAGTATGTTAAGGTGAATAAGGACCAAGAAATATCTATGACTCATGGGGGCGGGCTATGTCTTGGAATTGGCACAGTAGTGCCTGGCCTGCTGTGTTTCCTACAGGGACACAGCCTCCAGGTGAGAAATGCATGGCGAAAACCCTGTCGGTAGAAAGCCTTGTACTGCCAGCAGGGTGACCCTCTGTACCCACAATTCATGGATGGGCCCCTCATTTTTCATGTCCACTAGCAGTGCCAAATTGTTTTATTGCTTTATTTTGTTATCATTATATTTAATAGCAGTTGGGCATGGAGGCCTAATGCAATCTAAAATTTCTATGTCTACAAAACCCTACAAGTACCCTATTGCACCTGTGCAAATGTAAAAATGTTTTGTTCAGTAGATAATTTTGATGTTTTTAATAATTGGTGTTCCTTTTTACATATAAAGTTGGACTCTTTTTTTTAGAATTTGTAATAAAAACTATTGCTGCTTTAACTATTATAATGTTATGCTTTATAATGTAACCATGTGTTTTTAAATAAATCTTAATATGACTTATAATGATTTGGTATGCATGTGTATCGCACAAAACAAAAGCACTCATTTCAAACTCACTTGTATCTTGGAAGCTTATGTTTGTCTTTGTTTTCTGAATTTAAGGACCTTTAAAGCTCAGAAACAATACAATACAATCTACTTCATTATTATTTTATTACACTCAGAGGGCCATTGCTGTGACTACCCAGTCTTATGAGATAAGAGAGAAATAGCCACAGAACTTCAGTCCTCATGATACATCATGAAAATAACCAGCTGTTTTTTGAAGTGTGCCATCCTGAGATCCCATGTCTGAGATTACCATTTCAACTGCTTTGACATTGATCTTCAGGAAGCTCCCCAGCATCCATCCCATCACTAGCAAAATGCTTGATGAGGGGATGCAGAGATAGCTGGGGATGGGGGAGGGTGAAGGGTAGAGCACTTCCGTGAAAGCAAGAGGGCCTGAGTCTAAACTCCCAGACCCCAGGTAAATATTAGACCTGCCCACACGTGCCTGTAATCCCAGAGCCAGAGGAAGTATTCTGGGTGGAGATCAGCAGATCCAGGGAAGTTACTAATCTAACCTAAATGGCCATCTTGGGGTTCCAATGAGAGGCTGCCTCACAAATAAAGTAAGAGAAGGAAGAAGACACTCAATGTGTTCATCTGGCCTCCAAATGCATGTGACAGGTATATGAACTTGCACATAATACATGCACAAGCACACGGGGTACATGATAGGAAGAGAGAGTCATTTTGGCTCCTGGTTTCCGAGGTTTCAACCCATGGCCACTTGGCTAAGTTTTTCTGTACACCATGGGAAAGAGTGTGGCAGAGGAAAAGCTGCTCCAGGCAGCCAGGGAGCAAAGAGACAGAGCAAGGGGCAGAGTCAAGCAAAGACACCCACAATGACCCACTTCTTTAACCAGGTTCCACCTCCCAATAGCCCATTAAGCTATTAACTTCACAATGGGTTGACCCATTGCTAAAGGCAGTACCCTGGTGATCTAGTCACTTGTAATAGTGCCACACTCAGGGACCAAGGCCTTCAGTGCATGAGCATTTGGGGCCATTTATACCCAAACAGTAACAGCTTATCATAATTGGTGGGTAGTAGGTAAGTAGTTCTCAGCTGAAAGCTCTCCAGCTGAAAAGCTTTCAGTTCCTGTCTCCTCACACCTCATATACCTTTCTCCACCCAGCCATCACTTCCTTCCTAGTACTGAGATTAATGGTGTGTGTGCTTCCCAAGTAAAGGCATGAGATCTCAAGTGCTGGGGTTAAAGGCTTGTGACTCCCAAATATTGGGATCGAAGGTGTGTCCCACCACTTCCTGGTTCTGTTTCTCTCCTAGACTGAGTCAATCTCATGTAGTCCAGGGTGGCTTTGAACTCACAGAGATCCAGATGGATCTCTGCCTCCCTAGTGCTAGGATTAGAGGTGTGTGCCACCACTGCTTGGCATCTAGGTCTAATCCAGTGGCTTGTTCTGTCCTCTGATCTTCAGGCAAATTTTATTAGGATACACAATATATCACCCTTTCTCCCTTCCTCCCTCCCTTCCTTTCTCCCTTTCTTCCTTACTTCAACTGCTTCTCTTGTCTGGCTTCTGGCCTTGGGCATCTCCCTTGTTCTCTCCTCTCTTCTCTCTTTCCCCTCTTGATCCTAGATTTCTATCCCTATTTATTCTCTCTGCCTAGCTATTGGCCATCAGCTCCTTAAACCAATCAGTTGCCTTAGGCAGGCAAAGTGGAACAAATGCAACACATCTCTGCGTAATTAAACACACATCCTTAAATTGTTAAACCAATGCAGCATAAACAAATGTAACACACCTTTTCATAGTTAAATAATATTCCACAACAGTTCGAGATTCTATAATTCTCTAATTGTTGATTCTCTGACATGCCAGAATCATCCCTGACCTGCTCACGCATAAGAACCAAGGGTTTCATTGTCCGAGAGAAATCAGGCTTGTTCATGCAAGAAGTTGCTGTACTGTAGCTAGAGTTTTCCTGCCTTGCCCACAGTCAGGACAAATCTTTGTCACCCACCAGTCCCACAGCCACTCAGACCCAACCAAGTAAACACAGAGACTTATATTGCTTACAAACTGTATGGCCATGGCAGGCTTCTTGCTAACTGTTCTTACAGCTTAAATTAATCCATTTCCATAAATCTATACCTTGCCACGTGGCTCATGGCTTACCGGCATCTTTACATGCTGCTGGTCATGGAGGCGGCTGGCAGTCTTCCTCTCCCCCCCCCCACCGCCTTCCTGTTCTTTCTTTTCTCCTCTCTGTTAGTCCCGCCTATACTTCCTGCCTAGCCACTGGCCAATCAGTGTTTTATTTATTGACCAATCAGAGTAATTTGACATACAGACCATCCCACAGCACTGTACCCTGCTCTTCTGAGAAAGATGAGCCATCCAGGCTGGGCAAATGGCATATCTCCTCAAGGGTGACAGTGGCTCCCTGGACAGTTTCCAAAAGACTCTTCTATGTATCTTACCTTCTGTGCACACACAAGAAAGGAGCTGTAGCTAGAAGTTTTCCTGTGTCCTGCCTGGCCCACAGTCAGGACAAATCTCTCTCACCCATCAGTCCTGCAGCCGCTCAGACCTGAGTAAACACACAGGGGCTTATATTATTTATAACTGCATGGCCATGGCTCAAACCTTTTGCTAGCTAGCTCTTATATCTTAAATTAGCCCATGACTATTACCCTTAATTAATTAGTTATGGTCCGTGGCTTTACCTGCGTCCCATTACATGTTGCTCCTTGGGCAGCTCACTGGTGTCTTCTCCCCCCTCTTCTTCCTGTCTCTCCCTTTGAATTTCCCGCTTGCCTCTAAGCTGCCTTGCCATAGGCCAAATAGCTTTATTTATCAACCAATCAGAGCAACACATATTCGGCAGTGTACAGAAAGACATTCCCCCATCAAGGAGCTGGCTCCTGAGAGGTGTGGCCCCAGAGAGGTGTGAGGTGTGGTCCCCAAGTTGTTCAGCTCATGGGTTTGGGGAAAGCAAGTGTCAGGTAGAGGGAACAGGCAGCTATAATCCGTAAAGAAAAAGTGGCTGTTGGCTGTTCATGCAATCACTTACCCAAAAATCCAAGAATTTGAAAACTAGAAAAATAAATCCACGTATGTGAGCTGCCATAAGATAAACAGGTAAAAATCGGTCAGCCCTTAGGGAACCAGGCTTCAAGCTGTGTTTGACTTCGGGCCACAGGAGAATATGTACTTTTGTTGGCTAACATTACAGCAAGTATTGAAAAAAAAATAATAGAAAGGATCAACACAGAGAAGCTAGTAACGAAATTCCTTCTCAGCCTGGAGACAAAACACATGGGCTTTTAATGGTGAGATAAAAATCCACTGAAAATACAACTGGGATAGTTTTGTTTTTCAGGTTCAAAACTGTGCTGAGATAATCTCACTCCAGGTTAGTAAGCCTCATGGTTAGGCAGCTCCGTGTCTCTAAAAACATTTACCCTTTGTATCCCTGGTCCCATCCTAACACAGACCCCTGCACAGGTTTCATAACACTGTTAGGGACAGAGCACCACAGACTGAGTGGGTTATTGTAAATGTAACCAACTGTCTTATTAAATAAGAAACACAGAACCAATGCAAAGAAGAAAGCCAAGAGGTCAGAGCTAAGAGCTAAAACCTTACCCTTCCTCCTGCGGTGGTCCTATCTCTCTGAACCAGAGCTACTTCCTGTGTGTCTGTCTTTTTATAGTATTTCTGTTCTGCCTTCTCATTGGTTGTAAACCCAACCACATGACCGTCATGGCCTGTCTGTATAGACCTCCAGGTTTTCTGTGATTGGTATTGAGATTAAAGGCATGTGTATCCAATACTGGCTGTATCCCTGAACACACAGAGACTTACCTAGCTCTGCCTACCAAGTGCTGGGATTACAAGCGTATGCCACCACTGCCCTGTTTTCCTATGGCTTGCTAATAGCTCTGACTTCTGGGCAACTTTATTTATTAACATACAAATAACATTTGAATACAAATAAAATATCACCATAGGTTATACAGCAGAAATCTCTTTTCTCCTGGTTCTGGAACACGGATGTCCAAGAACAAGGTATCAGTGACTTGGTTTCCTCTGAGACCCGTCTCTGGCTCTTACGTGCCCATTTTCTCCCTCTGGTCATCTCGATAGCCCCGTGTCAGAGTCCAGACTTAGTCTTCTCATGTTCTTACCAGAAATACAGGCTGGGAGCTGAACCCAATGGCCTCAATTTAACTCCCTTGCTCAAGACTCCCTCTCCAAACACAACCACATTCTGAGGTGCTGAGTGGTTTCAAGGTACAAATTTTGGGAGGGACCCGATTTTGCCCATAACACAGCCTAGGATGAGTTTAAATATCTAAAATTAACTCAAGTGCATGTGAGCTAGAACAGGCTTGGAAAGATAGATTTCCCGATCTTATTTTTAAACAATTTGAAAGTGTAATGAGAGAAATTGTATTGACAATAACAACAAAAAAGCAAAAATAAAAAATAAGCCTAACAACATGTTAAGACTTCCATGGGGGAAAACATGTAACTATCCACCTATATAAGAGTTCATATGCCTATGTGCCCTTGTACCTTGTCTAAAGCACACACACACACACACACACACACACACACACACACACTCAGTCAGTCAGTCCAAATTTAGCTAAAGTGTAAAATAATTTAGGAACTTAGAATTTCAAAATTATTTTCCAAGTACTAGCCTTAACCAATCAGGAAACGTAATGAGGGTGTAAAAGAGGATACATATCATTATGATGCTCCTGGGTGGGAAGACTCGGGGTTGTAAATAGTTTCATTGTCTTCCAGTATGTAAGTTTAGTGCATTCATAATTAAAATACAGCGATGTTTCTATGGAGACAGACAAGCTGATTCCAAATTTACCTGGAAGAGAAAATGGATATAGATCATCAGCAGAGGAACAATGATGGGAGGCATCCCTTATCCATGGGAGGAACAAAATATACTGTATATGAATAATAAAGAATACAGTATGTGATCCCCAAAGGCACAAATGAATAGAATGAACCAGAAAAAAATAAATCCATCTTCATTTGCCATCAGCATTTCTAAGTGAATTTTAATAGATCAGAAAAGGTCCAAAGAATATAGACATTACCATCTCATTAGAAGCACAGTAAATCAGATTTCTAAACTGTCATAAAGAAAATTAATTGTGGGTAGCTTTAAAGATCTAACATAAACAACAAAATTATAAAGGTTTTAGCTGAAAATAATACATGGAGGTTTGATAATTTGGGGGTGGGGAGAAAGCCGTGAAGGAAGTTATTGAAAATGGAATTCCTTAGATAATTTGCTTGAACAATAAATAGTAGTGTTAAGAAAATGCACACAAGCCGGGCGGTGGTGGCGCACGCCTTTAATCCCAGCACTCGGGAGGCAGAGCCAGGCGGATCTCTGTGAGTTCGAGGCCAGCCTGGGCT